ACGGATATTATAGGGGTGCTAAATCTCACATATAATACACAGTGGACAAAGCCTGACCATTTGACCCCAGTAAGATATAACGCTTAGCTTACAAGGTCTAAAACTGGATTACAGTGACTTATAGTCGTTACTTTTCTTGAACCCGATGACTTTTGGCTTGTACTGTAAACGGAAAATTTATTCGACCATATTTCAGCAAGGATGATTTAAACCAAATGAAATATCGTCGTATCATTTGGATGAGGCTATAAAGGTACATACTGTCGCTAGCAAAATTTCCTTAACTCACTGCTTAGTATTTTCAGTCTTTATAGGCATTTAGGAGCAAAAATATAAGGAAATCTTTCAATTCTTTTCAGTTCGGGTTTGTACTATCATCAGTTAATATATTATTATATATTTTTTTGACGATTTAAAGCTTTGAATCCTCAAGTTACAGAAGTCGGCGTGCTCTGACAAAAAGATAACATCTATAAGTTTCTGACTAGTATTTGTAATATATTCAGTTCAGTTAAGTATTTAACCATTCATTCTTTGTCTATTATAATAGAAGCTAATATGAATTGAATGTTAAATTATCACCATGAAATTCATTGAAATGATAATACAATATGGCTAAAATAGAATGCTCGGCTGGTATAGATTATTTCTGGAAAAATGAGTCATTTTAAAAGATTTACATGATATTTCTTTTGTTTGTTGTACCATATGTTACCAGGTAAAGGTATTATAGCCATGCCCATATGACGGCGGCTTGTTGAACATACCTTTCAATTACAAGGTGTTAACCATGCATATTGGAAACTGTGAACTCTTGCTGGGTGCTAATTATTCTCTCTAACAATTGCAGTCAAAATAATAATAGCTTATTTTTCTTTGAGGTTTGATATGTTGAAATTATATGTAAATTTGACCAATTAGCAATATGAAAGAGGAAACGGAATTACCTTAAACATGCATATTTTTTTCATATTAGATGTACATTTCGTATTCACCATTTACACAGACAACTTTTTTATTTGGTAAATTCGCAATCCCTAAAAAATACTATATCCATTTCGACGATCCGTCATGAAAAATAGGTAAAAATGGTAGGGAAAATAAAAAAAACTAAAATACATTTTTCACAGAAATATGCATTCTTAATACGAGAGTTTCTATTGAAAGTAGCAAGAAAATAGACCAAGTCTGTTACAGGAATCAAGGACTTATATCGTACATTATGTTGGGGATGTTTGTCGAGCAAAATTACTACACAGTTTCTGCAAAGTCTTGAAATGTATTATAATTTTCAAAATATAATATAAGAGACAGAAAAAAATTGTTTATCAATGCATATCGAAAATGATGAGAAAATTTAGTTCCTGATAGTTCGTTAAAAGACAGTTTTCAAATCAATTAATTGCTGGCAATAAAAAATAACGTTTAAAATCAAATGTGCCAATAGAAGTAAGCCATGAAATGTCTTTTCCATTTACTATGTGAAACTTATCACTGCTTCAATGTTTTGTCTATCTTGTAGTATTCTGTACTCATTGCACCCAACAGACAAGAAATTTACAAAAAATATCAGAATTTATCACTTATATCAATGTACGCCATCGGTTATCAATTGTATGGTAATTATTTGCTATTGAAATTCCTTACGAAGGCAAGCCGAAGTCTATGAAATGAGCGTTATTTGTTGATCACATGATAACGAACAGATTCCCAAAATTCTTACACAAAGGTACAAACGAACAAGCGTTCTGGTTGATCGCGCAAAGGAATTTGGTATGTTTTCATGAAAACCGGAGGGGATCTCATTGAAAAACAGTAAATAATTTGCCTAATCGGGATCACAATTCACAAATCCAACCCCCTCTTAAGACGCTACAGGAGGTTAGCTTAGAGTGCGAATATCTCTTAATAATTGGAAAATTTGTTACTTTTATGTTTCTTTATCAAACACTTTATAGTATAAACTAAAAGCTTATAGTAAAATTCTACTTCAGAAATCAACAGTTTAGGCAGATTTTATCGTCGAGAAAACTTGTGAATCCCCACGAGACCTCGTTAAATTTGATTGTTTGAAGCGAAGATTAGAGCACTCCAAATATAGGTTGACGTTAATATGCCATCGATTTAATACGGCTTAAACTAGAAACTATTTAAAATTACTGAATTGATAATCGATGCATGTCTTTCACACGTCAATCAATACCAAACATAAAAACATTTCTAAGGCACGAATTAATATTTAATGCAGTTTTTTTTCTATTTTCATACAATTGTCTTTAACCTTAAGTTTGAATTGAAAAAAAACTTAAAAGCATTAAGCCCAGATTTTTTCTGTTCTACTGAACGGGTATTGAAATTACAATATGTTACAAAGGGAAAAGCGTTTTATAAAAGCTGATAACGTAAGGCAGGGTTCTTATTTGAATTTTTTAACTATTTTAACCAAGATATCGTTTTTTTAGATTATCAATGCTGTTTTAAAATAGGATGAACTTAAATTATTTTTTCAAAATGTCGATGGAGATCAGTTACAAATTTCATTTGAAGCTTGCTTTTGAAAGATATTGTGTAGAAACCAACCTTGAAGCTCTTCAAAAGGAAACCGAATCTTTTAATTAACAAATATAATTTAATGGTAAAATAAATCAATTTATAACCTTAATAAAGACATTAAAATGGCCTGGCCCAGGTCATAATTTTGACAGTTACCACATGTGTTTCGGGCCACAGCTACGAAAGTTCAAACTGAGTTCACTATCGTAATGAGTCCTTTGTTAACTGAACCAATTCTACTGCAATTTCGGAATTCTTATCTTATTTGGACGAATTCTCGAGAGTTCACAAAATTGATAATGTTATCTTGCTGATTCTCTGGTAAACAAATGTTGCTCTCAAAATAATAGAAATGACGCATTTTCAGAATTATCTTATTTTGATGAATTCTCGAGAGTTCACAAAATTGATAATGTTATCTGGTTCATTCTTTGTTAAATACCTTGTGCTCATTTGAAGCATATGTAGCAATACAAAATAAAAGTATTTTCTTTTTTTCATTAATGAACACTACTGCTCTGGGGTCTACTAATAGTTTCAGCAATGACCATTTGAATCAGCTGAAATTGTGTGTGCCAGGGGAGAAACTACTATCCAAATATAAGCTAGTTTCTATCGTTGCAATACGTCCAAATGAATGACCACAAAGATCGATCATCATACATGTCATTGAAGCACATTAATCACATAAGGATGAGACTTTATACATAACAAACAATAACAATATATCATAATAAATATATACATAATATGACTTCAAGGGACATAACTATCATTGCCTATATTATAAAACTATTGTGACAAGACGACGACAGGTTTATGACTCATCAATAATCACATAATATTCATTGCCATTTTATAATCCTCAACCATAACAATGGCCACGTTTCAATCAAATTTACAATATATCCAGCAATTTAGTATCAAGTCATGTAAGTGCGAATGTGGGCCTTAAACAGTAGTTATTTCCAGTAAATAAAATCCGTTTCTAATTCGATTTGACTTAACGCAAAAACATTTGATTAATCTAAGTAGTGTATCATGCTAATTGCTTTTCCATTTCCCTTAAGATCACGCCATAACGATCATATTCAGAAAGCTTAGGCTTGACAGACATATTGATTTTTTTTTTCGGTACCATTTTGTATACAGGTCACGTGATTTGGTACTTTGTAGGACGATGAAATATTGTAATCAATATGGCGACTATAGATGGATAACATTGGTAATGATGAATATCGGTGTAGAACGACAGTTACTCACGTAAAGGCGTATTGATCCACACAGTACAACTTTCATAGAAAACACGGCAACGTATTGCACAAAGGGAAACGTACACATATATTATATGTATATATACACGATATAGAAAATAAATTAAATATTTCAATTTACATTATATTATTTTACCCTCTGTTAACAAAAAAAAGGAGGGTTTCTAGTTCAATTGGGTGTGTAGGTGAAATGGTACCCTATAAATATTCGTGACGCCAAATGAGTTACGTCTGTGTTTGATATCCGACAAAAAAAGTAAACATTTTAAGAATCGAATGGTATGTAACACATTGAACACTAATGATATTCAAACTGAAATCGTGTGTTATGATATATAAAACACATGATTTATTAACAAATGGTTGAATTTCAGCTATGTATATGTTCCGAATTCCGTTGGATCATCATTTTGATACAGTTTTCGTCATGATCCGACATAGTATAAACATTCTTATGTTTCTTATTTTCACAGCACCTTTTGTCATCATAGCGTAATCGTTCTCGACGACGATAATAAAAATGAAATACTAAAGCACAAATTAATAAAGTTAAGAGGAATGTTCCAATAACAGCCCCCACAATATCAACAATTGAAAATTGTTTCACTTTGTCAGTTGTAGAAACTATTCCCATGTTTTTCTCAGCTTTGCTGTTTACTGTCCACTCATAAGTATTTTTGTTTTCAATCGTATTGACTTTGTTAACACTTGTAGTTGGGGTTCGGCCGACAGTTGTACTGTCCATGGGTTTCTCTTTGGCTATAGGCCATGCTAAATTTAAAGAAAACGTAACGTTTCCGGCTGGATTGTTGGCAATACATTTGTATTTTGATTTGTCTGTTAATTGTGGGTTAGTTATGTACATAACACCCTCGCTGTCTTTAGGTTGTGTTTTGGATGGATAATACGTTTCGGTAGTACCATCAGGTCGGATCCAATATAGTGTAGGACTTGGATCGCCGGATGCAGTACATGTCAGTTTCCCCAATTCACTCTCAAATATAGCATCCACCTTCTTGAAAGTTGGTAATTCACATGTGAAATCGCCTGCTTTTAAAGCATTAAATAGTTTATTACGGTGAGAAGGCGGTGATGAGCAGGACGGTGCGTCCCCACCGGAGAAAATTGAGTCTTCTTTGACGAAAAATTCGTACAACCACGTCAGTTCACAATTACAATGAAAATTGTTTTTGCCCAATCTGACATGACTTAAGCTACGCAATAGATACAGCCATTCTTTATCTAGTTTTTCAAACTGATTTTCGTACAACCACAGAGCACGTAAAGAACCATTTAAGGGGCGCAGAACTTCCAACGATAAGTTTCTCAGAGCACAATTATGCATGTAAAGTCCTCTTGTTGAAAGACCAGCAAATGCCTTGGACGAAAACTGGATTCCAGGATTCTCATTGATGAAGAAATTCTCCAAATTCAGTCCCCGAAATGTAAAATCGGGGATAAATTTCAGATCATTTTTACTGATGTCCAGCCATTTTAACTTGGTTAATCCAGAAAATGTATCAATAGCGATACTCTCGATTCCACATCCGCTGAGGTATAAGTTCTTTAGAGACGACAAATTAGTAAAATTTCGTCTTGTCAACACTGGGTTTTTAAACTTGTTATCATTTAGTGTAAGCTCCAATGTGTCGAAAGGTATTCCGTCCGGAATAATATCGAGATTCCCTCTAGAACAATAAACATTGTTACTCATAGGCGGACAAAAACAATTCCTAGGACAGGTAGCACATATACTTCCCAATGAAACTATAACACACACAGCGCATAGCACTAGTTCTCTAAGAGAACAAAATAATTCTCCTTTACGTTTCATTTTTCCAATCTATCATCGTTGGTTTCTCGCTAAAAGATTAAACAAAAATAACAAATCCACACCACAGCTATATTCCACTGTTCGACTACATGATATAAAAGTTCACGATATAGTTCGCTCTCCAATGTATAAGATAATAATAGTCGAGTTAGTCAGCTGCAACCAACATACTGCTATCAACACACTGCGCCATCTAGTAATTACAATACTAATCGAGAGAATAGTCACGAACACACAGTCTCTTTTCAGCAAGAAGTGGATAGTTAAAATATACTCGATTGAACAGTCTTAATGTAAAGAAAGTCTTTACTTACGAGTGTTGAAAAGGCGTCTCATTTACAATAATTAATACAATGATTATAATCAACACATACAGTATCATTTCAAATAGATAAAGACTGGGGTTGATAATTTTACTTCTTTGTTTGTTTATTAGACGTAATAAATAGGGATTAGGATAAGTGAAAAACGAATATTATTTAAGTTTAATTCGTGACATAGCAATAATAAGCTGGGATAAGCAGGCATTGTATTTTATATCGACATATCAGTACCAAATGTGCTGTTAAGTTTCTCAAGAAGTCGACGGGCAAATCATCGAATCCATCTCAGTGGACTGGATTTTGTTCAAATCCGTCGCAGTGGACAGGATTTTGTTTAAATCCGTCGCAGTGGACAGGATTTTGTTTAAATCCGTAGCATCACACAGGATTTATTCAAATCAAAATATTTACTACAAGGAACTGTGATAAAGTCGCAGATTCTGTCAGCCGAGGTCGACGACATGGTACACATTTTGCTACATAATATGAAGCAAATGGAAGCAACTACCTTTTCCCAGACTTCCAAATCCAACGAATAATCAGAATCTTCCAGATGCCACTAATTGCTAATAGTCGTTGAAAATCCCGTTTCTCTCAGACTCTGACTATGGCAAGGACCAAGTTCACCTTTAGAAGGCAATGATTTAGAAATAGATCGCGAACATACACTTCGATAAATCTTTGATCAGCCATGCAAAAACAAATATATGAAGATCTGCGTCTTCCTTTCTGCACCCGATCTAATTAGGACAGATAATATAGTATGCTGAAGGAACATTGTAGACCACTGGATCTCCAACGACTAAACACCTTTTCAATGTCAGCTCCTCTGACTTGTAAAGTGGGAGACACTTACATATTTTATGTTGGAAAGATATTTACAAAGAAAGCTGAATACATTTCATTGTGCTATTCTGCCCTAACAAGACACTTCTATAAATACCTTATATAAATAAGCTACTTACATTTTTCGTGAATTATTTAATCTTAAATGGGATATTGTTGTTTTTGTCTAAAAGAGTCTCTAAATCTCGTGTATGCAAGGGTTACATGGTACAAGAGGTACTTCATTACATCAAGCAATTCACACCTACATTTGTTCCTATACAGATAATTTGAATCCTTTTCTCCTTAATAAGTATCAAGACGTCATGTAATGAATGAATGTCGTGGCCTATAATTATAATACTGGCCACTGGGTACGTTATCCCTTAATAGGAGAGTGGGTGTGTGTGTTGATGATGGGGGGTGAGTAGGTACCAGTTTCAAAATAACACGATGCATGTTCAAAGTCTACTTTCTTTTTGTATATAAATTTATTAACTATTGTTGATAGTGTGTGAAATTTGTTTTTCATTAATTTTCCAGCAATCCATCTTTTATGAACTTCATTTGCTGGTAACTATTTATTGGAAGCAGACTAATTGACAAATGTTTTTCCACCTAACAAATCAGTTTTCGCTTTGCTTTTTAGACTTTGATATGCATGTTCCAATATACAATTTTGGTGGCTGCTCATTGAAGAATCGTGCTGAATACAAGTGATTGTTGGTACAAGTATAGCTGAATGCAATGAATATCTGTAAAAACTGTCACTATAAAGTATCTGATACGGCTTTTAAGATGTGTCACTGCCTCAATGTATAAAATATTAATCTTACACTTATTGCTTCGCCTAAGACGAGATAAACGTTTATTATCCTTTCGAGAATTCTTGTGTAATAGATGGATGACAAGTGACTTATTAGAAACTAAGAAAAAAAAACAGACATGCAATCAGAAATAGACAATGGAATGAGTTCAAAACCGGTCCTATATCAAACCTTTTGGTCAATTATAAATCTGGGATTCTTTACTGTTTGTAATATTATGAAACAATCCTAATACCAAAATCCAATAGGGCAAGATGTTTTTGGTATGACAATTGAAAGCAGCAGAAATTGCATACTTTGTGGAACTGACACGAAAAAAAAAGAGAAATTCCATCTAAAATTTTTAGCAAAAAGCAAAGTCCATCGCGTTTATTAAAGAAAAGACTTTAACGTTAATGAATTGGAACAGTTGAAGTTATGTCTTGTCTAATAATGCTGTTTCATCGGACTAGTATTTTTTATGTCAAAAATGTGCTTGAAAAAAGTCTTATTAATGAACTACATTTATTTGTCCAACACAAGGGCTTGCTTCAAGTAGCTTCAAAACTGTGAAGTGTGAAGATCGAAATAAAGGTGAATCAACTATATCTAATTGGAAGGATAATTGGAATTAAGTTCAATTATTGTTTATATTTTAGCTGTAAAACAATAACTGTTAATAGGACTATATTATCTGGCCATAAACTCTGCGTGAACCCCACTTTAATTAGGCGACAAATGAAGAAGGCCGAGTCAGAGTAATCGGATTACGTGAACATTCGACAAGAAACAATAGTGTCTTATGATTTGTACAAAATACCCGTTGAATTACAATATCCCGGGGGAGGAGGTGGAATAATAGTGTCAGCACTCGTCAAGTCTCTTGTCCCTCCAGGGCTTAGTAAGGAGTCGTTGTCTTACAGTTCACTGCTTTTCAGATATTTCATAACGCCCTGATAATTTTGATATCGAGTCTCTAATCTTGATATTATGTCGTCGATATCTTGTTAATCTGTAATGGATGTCAGAACTACCCCGACCCCTGCTCAGCCCCATCGCTCAGTTCACCCGTGTAAAACTGATCACATTCTCTAACTCTCTGTTGCAATGTGGACAAAATATGCTATAACTTCCACATATATTGAGCATTTATAAAGAAACATGTTTGTCGTTTGCCACAATTTGACTAAAAACTTAGCAAAAAAAAAAAAATCAGTATTTGACTTGCAGTATATCTGTGGAACATAAAACCTCAACCAACACCATTTGAGATAATATACGTTTTGATTGTCTATGATGCAGGCCATGAAGTCCTCGGGTTGTATGGCGATTCAATGAATCTATCTACGTCATTATTAGCTGCAGTCTCCCATTTTATAAAGTGGGAAATGATCCATCGACATTTGTGCTTTTGTAGTCGTTGGTGCGCTCAGGCCCTTAAATCCATCTACAGATCTAATACCACACTTTGCTATCGGTTGTTGAAAATTTAGTTATCCCCGACATCTTCAGCAGCAAGGGCAACTTGTGCTTTTCTTTACATGACGATAAGGTACAAAGTTTTCATGTAGATAATCATAAACATTTTACATTAATATTCCATCAGTATATTCCAAAAAGAAATCTTGATTTTACATTTTGTAAATTCTGCATTGATTTATATATAAATGGTTTAGAAATTTTGTTTGAGAGAAATTGGATTGGAGATAATCTAAATGAATTCAACAGACCACTTCAATAAAGCCCTTCATCAAAGAATGCTGTTGTTGTGCCCCGATGACAATCACTGGGTCGTCATTGACGATTAATTAAGATAAAAGTAAAGGTTTTCAAGTGATAAAACTTGAGCTGGCTTTGGTCATTCAAGTGGTCAAGTGTCCAGTAAAAGGATGTAAATGAAGTTTAAATGGTAATGACGTATCTCAATCTTTTATCTCCCCTCCCCGACTGGGAACTTAGCGATCTTCAGATAATTATTAACTAGTTCCACATTAATTTGACCTCGACACGATTTTGGTTGCTATTTCATTAAGACAGTGTAGTTCAGGTCGAAGGCCAGAACTTTCAAACCATTTTGAAAAATCAAATCTGAAATTTTTATTGATTTTAGTTAAAAACTATTGCGCTTGAATAACTGCTTTGGGTCACATGACTTCAAAATCTTGGTGGAATTGTAATTCGCATTGGAATATGTAAAAGCATTAAACGAAATGAAAATTGAATTCAAATGGTTAATAGTAAGACAGACTAACATGGTGGCAATGAAGCTACAATTAGTTGTTTGATGCTTCAAACCCATTGTCAAGTGATCCACTTAAGTGAATATTTAAGTAAATATTTGATGATTGCATATGATTGCAGACAGTCTACTTTGAATGTAGACGTTATAACTATCGTTTCACATTATATGCGCTGATCGAAAGATGATAAAATGAATTTATCGACATAATTCAACTGAGATTACTGATATTAAGCGAAAGGGAAATGGATAGTAGCCAACTAGATCACAATATAAGTGCACCTTTCGGTTGCGGTTGCCAACCTTGATAGCTTTCAATAAAACAAAATGGTTGCATTATTAGATCTTTGAATTTTGTTTCACGAGACTAGCAGCGAATTGCTTAGTTTACCCTGTACTCTTGACCACCGAAAACTGATGTTTAGACCTCTTACAAATTCTACCTTAACTGAAATATCCCAAGTAATTTTGCAAAGGTATTGATAGCATAATGTTTTTTTTTTAGTTTACTGTTTGATTCGGGTAGGGCAAGTTTCGTCCCCTCTCTCTTCGGGCCAACCTTCAAACGTAACACCTCTTCAGAACCGGTTTCAGATGGCGTGGATATGCCCTTCAGTATTGTTGCGTTTCAAGGGATTTAACTCTAGTATTTCGAATAAATATTCTTACCCATCAATGTATTAATTCATTTGACCAGATACTAAGTATTTACCAAGCTTTAATGTGCCATAAAAGGCAGTTTTCTGTGAGTTTTATTTTTGAAGGTTTAAAATGGTAGAATTTTTCTGATTTAACATGGCAAGATGCTCAATTTTAATAGGGAATCCACAGCTTGATTAAGGGGAGGTAACTATTCATGAAATAAGAAAGAATTGCTGAGCTGAAGACAACAATAACAAACTTCTGTTGTTGATTAATACGAATGTTATGGTTCCCTCATCAGATTTGTCGGCTGATTTCATAGGGTAATTCAGTTTAACTTGATGCTTAATTGAATAAACTTGAAAGAATGTTGGATAACTTTTCAATGTCTGTAATTATGGTCAGAAATATCCTTCTTGAGCTCAAATTGTTGAACAATCCATTACCAAAGGAGAAAAATACCCAAAAGTCACAGACCTCTTATTTCAATTTCTAAATGAAGTATTTGTTCCATCCTAGGCCTTAATCAAGCTCTCCCTTCCCCAAATTCAAACGCTGTGTGGGATGGTCCTCAACGACTCCACGCATAGCAATTAGTATGTATGAAAGGGGAATGAATAGACAGAAAAAATAGGAGCTTTAAAAATAACTTTATTATACAAAAATGTAATGCTTGTGTATATACATATATGTTGATGAAGGCAATTGAACTTTTTAAGTATTTACGGTTTTCTTGGATTGATGCAGAGATTTTTAAAATAAAAACATGAGCATTCTAATGTTCGCTTAATGTTATGCCGATTCTTCCACTGACCACATCGACCATGTCGAATGATTAGATATTTAACTTATTAAGACATGATAATTCAAATCAAAAACATGATAATTCAAATAGAAAGGAGTTCTACGACCTATTTTGTGCTCTAAATTCTACTAATGAATACAGAGCTGTGACCACTTAGCCAGTGATTACTTGGGTTGTGTTATAATGGAATAATCTGTCAAAGGAAAGACATAAAAAATATTCTTTGACGATATTCACAACTAAAACTAAATATACAACTTAACAATACTGTTATTGCACATTTCTTTCCATTTAATGCGATCCATCAATTGAAGCCTGTATACTCGCTCATCAATAACCCTTAATAAAAACATGCATTTAAGAAGTTAGTGCATCATTTGGGACCATGATGTATTTCGAAGTTTGTGTAGTATATATTCTTTCTTGATTGTCTCCGATTATTGAGCAATTCAAAACGGACATGTATTTTGCACTATAGTTATTATTATGATTATGCACAGGATTGGTGAAGATTGGAGCATATGATCTAAGTAACGAACAGTCACAAAAACCGAACACTGTAAAACTGTTACAGTTTACGTATTGTAGTAGGTTCTGTCTACAATTTTTGGTCTTGGTATATGGCACGGCCTGAAAAAGAATACAAAAAAATGTAACTTATGTATCGAATGGTTGCATTTGTTTTTACCACTCCAGTGATTTCCAATATGGCAGTTTAAAATCAAAATAGTATAAATGGTGACCTATGTCAACCAAAACAAAACCGAACGTATTCTATTGCAAATGTGCATCAGGCAAATGAAACTGAATGCAATGAATGTGTTGTCGTTTTCTTTTTTTTAATTTAATTTCTGGATACAAAATTGTTATTAAAGCTTTCGTTTTAAACAAGCGCCTTCTTGTATTTTTTTTTTTATTATATCCGACTGAATAATTCCGAAGAAACTTTGAATTAGACGACTTATGCATTATTAATACTTAGAAAAAAAAGAACTCGTGCATACCACTTTTCAACACCATTTAAATCTGCACCAGGGTTGTCTACCCCATAACTTTTATTGATTTCTGGATATCTGCAATGAAAAGGTGTAGAATAAGCATTTATTTCTGGGTTTTTATCGAAATTGGGACTTTTATAGGAGATCCACATCAACTGTTTGATAAATCCTTTCAGAAAAAGACGTGAGCTTGGAACAGACAGGATCGTTCTGCATTTGGGTCAAAAATCTTGAGAATGGCCTAACATTATATCACAATACAGATGGGACACAAACCCTCTACCTCTCAAAAAAGAAAAGAATGCGGCTCGTAACTTACTCCTGATAAGCTAAATAGGTATCTGGATAAATTCCCTGCCTTCCACTTTCGGACATAGAAGGACCATAGTGATCATAATTCCTATTTTTGACATGACCATTACTGCTGTCATCGTAACCATCTTCAAATGACCTACACAAAATTAATAACTTTTTATCAATTCGGATATATATTAACATCCCTTATTTTAGGATTGTGTAATTATCCGGAATATCTTTTGAGGCATCTCGATTTCCAGAAAAACCTGGTCAGATTATAACCTGATAATTATATTTAACAATCGTCAGCACTGTTTGGTTTGAATGGTATTTGCGGTAGTGGCGTCAATAATTTGTTTTCTGGATCTATAGGAACAGCAAAATTACCAATTTCGCTAAAGCGTATCCTAGAGATGTCTCTCCTCTCAGTTACAATTACTACGGGTTATTTTACTTTTAATGAGAAGCCTTTCTTTTTTTGGACTCGAAGCCCATTATGTTTGGCGAAAGCTCCTTTAAAGCTAACTGTAGTAGCTACTTACGCATCGTCATCGTACACTCGTCTTCTATAGCAACAACAGTATGCTATTAAAATCACTGCTATGATCAGAAGTATGAATATTCCAGCTGATATTGATGTGCCCAACACAAGTTTTTCATGTGTCGTTAAATCCTCCCAACTCCCTGCAAAAGAGGGAACCAACTGATCAAAAACCTTGTTCAGACAGGGAATGGCATTAAATATAGACATAAGGAAAGACAGAATATGTCAAAGAAAAAAACATAAATTATGCTTCGATTTACTTGACATTTTGAAAAATTTATATAATTACCTAAAAGCAGAGAAACTGAATGCCACAGTGAAAAAAATGAAAATCGGATTGTTTCCGAAAAGGTTACAACTAAATGACGTTCTTAAACCAATTGATAACTTCCTCCATTGACATTAATGAAAAGTAATGTAACTTCATCTAATACAATTTCCCTTTAAAGTAGTCAAAAAGGTTTAATACAAACAATCCAAGTACTGACGATCTAAACCGCAAACCGAAATGCAAAACTTTGGCGGAATATTGGTAGAAGCTATTACTAAATACTATGTCCCATATCCAAATGCTTTTAATGTGCTGAACACTTACATTTGCACTCTAAAGATGATGTATCTGGTGTCCAAGTTCCATTTGCACATGTGATGGTATTCTTTCCACCTAAGCTATGACCAAAGTCATTACAGGATAATAATACTGTTGATCCCGATGTGATATTTTCACCATGAATACTGATGGAACTATCTACAGTGCGTAACGTACAATCTGAAATACATATAGAAATACATTACACCGGAACAATATTGAGCAGGTGGCGCTCAAGTCCACTCACTTCAAAGCTATAAACAATTTTATATTTCACATGTTTTTGAAATATGACTTTAGTATATTTTAATTGTTGTTATTCACACTTTTGTCAGTTACATTTTGTACTGTGATTGTGGCTTAACGGATCATATTGAGTTGTATTTATATTGTATTTTATTTTTCAGATGTGACTAGGCATTTTGTTTTGTAGAATTGAATGAAATATACAAAATACGTATGCATAGCCTGCATGTCAACTGGAATGAGGTTGCTTCCAAAATGTTCGCAATCAATATGAACTGATGTTTACAATGTCTAAATGTACGGACATGAACGTGCACTTGTTACGCTCAATTTTCAAACAATTTCAGTTTTTCGCATGTTCTACCGACCAATTTAAGAAAAAGTAAAAGGAAAACATTTCCTGTGACTTTCTATGGTAAACTGTTATTTTTCGTTTAAATCTGACACTTTCTTGTTAGTGTGGTTAAAATAAAGTAAGTGACCTTATCGTCCAAACATAAGAAAGTGGACATCAACGTTAGGCTAGTTAAACACATTCCGCCAAGAATTTGAGTTAAGGTAAAAATCAACACTCGAGAAAGGTTGCAGATAGCTGGGGTTTGGTACGAATTAGTATTATAAGTCAACCACGTTTTGCTCTTTACCGACCTTAACATAATGGTATATTCTCAGAAAATGTCCATTCTTATTCCATATGTTTGTCAACTTTTTGCAACATATTTTATAAGTTATATCCTGTGCTTAAATATATATTCGCCGGTACTACTTCTTCCTGTTATCCTTTTCGGTATAAATTCGTCGAATCATTAAAATTTAAACAAGGAAAAATTTTCGGTTACCCACAATTTGCATTTACTGTCGCAGACTGTGTTAATTAACACAAGGCAATGACAGTGAAAAAAGTACATAGTATATTAATGCATATACCATGGGTCGAAATTATATATTTTTTTTAGCAAAATAATGGTACATGCCTTTTATTTTTATACACATTAAATATGTCGAGGCGATATAATGGGTTTTTACATTGTGTATTAAAATTATTCTACATAGGGTTATCAAGAACATTTGTAAATTTCAGTTTCTCATTTGAAACAAAGCGGATACCGTAAATATATGTAGTAGGTCACATATGTGAGGAATTCAGAGTAACAGATGTTTCTATTTAAATTATTACTAGATTGGGATATAGATTATACAAATTAAACATAATAAACACCACGTTATGAATTAAATATATATGTTAAAGGGGATTTCAATTCTTTGTCTTTATTATTACTGATGTATGTTTTCTTTCTTTTTTTTCTTTTTTCTTTAGTAGAGTGTACAGAGCTACTATATGATAATTTTTTTACCAATCACTAGGCCAATATTACTCGGCTGGTGGACAAGATTGTCGTCGACGAAATTCTCCAACCTACAAACTAAGTTCCATTTCAGAATGAAAGCTCAATCTTCCAAAAAACTACTACCACCCTGCGACTAGCTATTAAAATATTTTGCTTGTCCATTTATTGTACAAGAGCTCTGATTCGTATTAATATTAGGTAAACCAAATTGTCAAGTTCTCATCTCGAAAATAACCTATTAAAATCATTCTTACCAAATGTATCTACATTTCAAATTTGACATAACACACTAAATGTAATGCAATATGTCAAAGAAAGTTATCTTATGTTAACAAAACAAAGCTACACTGATTTTTATAAAGAAACTATTACTCACTCATTTTCTTTGGTCTATAATGGACTCTTTGCCATGTAATGAACAAAATATATGGTATAAATATGGATATATCGCTTAGTTAATCCCGAAATAATCCTTATCCAAATCACAGATGTTCAAACACGTTAAGACATGATTTAGTCTCGATCCTTCATGGACGAATTAATCATCTGCCGTGTTCAGTAACGGATCAATAGACCTGAAAGTAAAGGAGATAATCATGAATTATTTACTGTGTTAATTAATATCAAGAAACGTATGTAGATCAGTGCCAAATTAGTGAGTGAGATCGGCCTTAAATTTTTCAGATTTAGCACCGACGGTGGGTCGGTGACGTCAATTTAACGTCCTCTTAACGTTTGCTGATATCGCAAACTAGATTTCGCCCCGCACCGCTTATCACTCCTTCCTTTTTACCCCATACGCCTCTCAACTGGTGCAGACAAGATGGAGCATTTGACCCTTGTCAGCTTCATGGATACTATTGCCATTGTGCATTGAAGTAGATCAAATGTATTTTTTCACATCCGGGAATAAACACACGCAGTCAACCTTTACATTTAAAACAAATCAAAGCCAGTTATTGTGTTCATAACTACTTAAACCAGCTGTACATTAGGTATACTGCTCCTTTTCGTTTGAATCAGCCCCGATTGTGCGGAAGAATCTTTACAACACAATACCTGAAACCAATATCAGTCGAGTGGTATTCCTTAACAACATTATCTTTCACAACACAAATCTTAAGTTTTCTAAGATATTCTTACTGTTATTGTTGAATTGAATTTGTTGCACAATGATCGCCACATAAACAATGACTAGGATAACTATGACGACTTGTACATAAATGAAAATAGCCCGGAGGTAAAAATATTTTCTTGTCGATCGAGATTCAAAAGATTTACTCTAAAAACCATCGTAAAATGTTGAATGGCGACTGGTTGTATCGTGATACGACAAATCGAACTAAAAGGAATTTCAAACGTACAGAAGATACAACATTGTGCGGTAAAAAATTTCCTTTTTCGGCCGTGCTCAATATATAGTCGAATAGGTTTTAGTATTAAAATAATTAACTTATTGGAGTCATCCACCTAACTAACGAATAACCAGGACACAACAGTTAATCCATTTACTGTAAACCTATTGATCATAATAATTATGTCTTCACCGAAAGTGGAATTTGGTTAATTGTTTATTGCTAATATTTTCAATTATTAAAAAAAAAGTCAGTCACAACTGTACAGGGTCGGTCGGTAACAAGCTAAGTGGGTACTGCAGCAACTCAGTTTTCAAAAGCTTAATTGCAAATCGCCGGCATAAAGACAATGTCAAAAATAGAAAAAAAGGGGGGAACATGCGTGAATATTTAGGCATTCCATACTTAAAATCTTTAAAATAATTTCAATTGTTTCTTTCAGAGTAGCGATTTTAAAGTTTTTGTTTTAGGCTGATGTCGCCAAATGGCTTTACACGTTTATGAGAAGAAATTCTGGGAGAAATCTGTCTAAAAGACTTTTCTCAACAAAAATTCGACCAATTTTAGACCAACTCATATATCCTACCCCAGTGCACCTGATTTGACTCTGATCTCGTTTTGAAACGCCTTTGAGAAAACGTCCCCATGATTTGATAAAACAGACATATAACCTGTGCTCTATGACTGAAAATCCTTTAAGATCTATTTTGGATAACGTTAAATAAATTTTTTATTATTATCTTCTGTTTACAAATCAGAGCATAACCAAGAGCAACTTCATAGAAGGAACCAAACTTTATATAAAATCTTTATCATTTATCAAGTTTATGGACATCTAGTCCATACATAACCAGGGGCAACTTACTTCTAAATACTTAACTGTGTTATTTTATACAAAATGCTTATTCGAAGGTTGGCATCACATACTGTATATCATTAAATACATTGTAAATTCCGTCCAAACATAACCGAGAACAACTCGTTAAAGAGTACTAAACTTTGGTAACCTAATCTATACAAAACTTGTTTACGACGATTGGCAAAACTTTTGCATTTATCATTATACAACCGATATTCTACGATAAATTCGGTCCAACCATAAACAAAACAACTCTTTTAGAATACTTTTGACCTTATACAAAATGTTTATACGAAGGTCGGCAACACCTTTCTAATATCTCCATTAAAATACCAACGACATCAGTCTATCGTATATCTAGTCCAAACATAAATGAGAGCAACTCTTTTAATACTACAAAACTTTGGTAACTTACTCTATAAAAAAATACGAAATGTATCCATAACCGAGAGCAACTCATTTAAACGAAGGTCGGCAACACCTGTAAATCTCCATTAAAATAGAGACGCCATTATTCTATGGTAAATTTAGTCCAGACATAACCGAATGAAACTTATATAAGTACCAACTTAACCTTATTTAAACGAAATGATTATCCGAAGGTAACTACACTAAACACTATATATTATAAAACTTTGTGGACTTACTTTATAAAAAAAGCTTATAGGAAGGTCGGCAACATCCATGTATCCATTAAAATACGTACGACATTAGTCCATTGTTAATTTAATTACACCATATCATTCAGCAATTCTCAAATAGCACGTTCATTTGTTACTTTGTTAGTACAATGAAAGCCACAGTTGTGAATTATTCATAGTATTTGTGATTAATAGAAGCGTTCGATCGAATACAATTTTCTAGTGTGTTTTGTTTGAGGACAGTAAAGTTAACCTAATGCATATTGATTTTTATGTATTCACTACGTTTACAGATAAATTATAATGTGTAGTACAAGGTAGTACATAACGGGGTGCATATTTGTGGTAAAAATAGGCTTGCGCATCCTTTAGAACCATTTATGGAAAGAAGTGGCATGACAATAAAATACCAAATGAAACGTGGTCATTCCATTGTGCAATATTTGGGTGTGTCATATTCATTCCAACCTCAGCTTAAAAGGGTCGCAACCCCTATTTCGGGTTGAACGGCTCATGACCCATTCAGGGCTAGATGAAACCGCCCTTCGCTAACTAAAGGCAACTTTTCTTAAAATGCTAGTGGGGGATAGGAAATGAACCAACTTTCCTTGATATCCATCAAGAACTGTGCCTTCTCGAAGGTTCAAGAACAAGTTCCATTTTCCCTTTTCCTTGAAAACTTTTCTGAAAAGTAACTCAACCAAATTGTCTCTACTTACAATTTTTTTCATATACTTTTTTCTGAACATTAACAATAGTTCCCTAGATACTACTTCACGATTATTGTACGACCAAGGAAGTATAATTATGAAAAATAACAAGTATATTTAGTCTGGCTATGTAGGTTAAGAAATTCTTAAAACCAACTATAAAAATATAGGTCGGCTACAAGGAAATAGCTGTCCTTATATGGTGAATATCTATCCATCATACACACAATTAGTGCTGAAGGATCACCCTTAACAGCAGCATCAGCAATTATCCAATCTATACAAATGGACAATGCATCCTTTAGATTCCATCCAGGTTTGGTCAACATCCAGCTGCTGAACAGGATCCTTGTACATATGTCTTATTTAATTATGACGTCATATACTGGTGAAGTTTTGGCCAAGTTAAAGTAACCGCAAATAAAAGCTCAAAGTGTACATTGATACAAACACAAGGGTTAGAACCTTTTAGATGAACCCTTACACGACTTACTCAGCCCTTTAATATTCTTTGAATTTGTAAAATGTTTTCACCGTCTCCTTTGAGTAGTACATTTATTATTGCGCTTTGTACGGTATTTTTTGGGTTACGGAATTGTTTTGCTTTTACGGATTAATATTTACCTACATAATCTTAGTCATATTGCTTAATTAAACTTATACCCCTTGTCTGTCAGCATATAAAATGGGGTTAATTAAGTCATAAAACATTTTCAATATAACACCTCTATCAATCATATAATACAATAATAAAAAAAGCTTCACATGTGTGACCTTTTTTTCATTATTCTCTGAACTTTGCTTCAGGCGAACATATTTATCAAAAAGAATTATGAAAAATGACGATTAAATGTTTACATGCCTCAGGCTATGTTCTTCGTCTGGCTATTCGGATAATACGACAGCACAAAGTAGTGGCTGCATAAAACTAATAAAGACAAACTCTCTAACCCATATAGAGATATAAAAATGAGAGTGAATGGAGTTTAACGTTCTACTTCTAACCCATAAAAGCTAACTATCTTACACATACAGACAAACTATCCAACCCATGAAGGCTAACGTTGTCATCCATAAAATCGAATTATATAACCCATAAGAGCAAACCCAAAACCATAAAGGCAAACTTCAAAATATAGATCCATCAAGGTAATATCACACAGGAATAAACAACAACAAACAACAATATGTTATCTCGTCAATATTCCTTATGCTTCAGGCAAAAATTCCTTCAACAATTTGATGATTAGCATCGAACAATATTACGCCTTTGGCTATGGGTTGCGGTGGATGATATCTCCACTGAGATAAAATCTAATCTCTCCTTTCTTATACGACTTCAACATCACGAACGTAGATTGTTTATATCAGATTTGAAATAATATCAATTATCTACATGTAGACTGTCACGATTGAATTTATTTCAAGATGCACATCTATCATCTGATAAAATACATGTACAATTGTGATGCTTAATTATGAAAGATTAATTAATGGTCATTGAATCACTATACGCTTTGGTTATTGTTTTCACAGTTTAAGAGGCCACTTCTTTAAAATACATCTTCAAGGTTTTTTAGTGAAGGTCTCCCTCCAACCATGTTCACCAAAACCTATCCAATGCAAATTATGTGATACCTCCAAATGTGTCATACACAACATTTTTGGCAATCCTCTACCACGTGGTCATTCAAAGTTTTAGGTTTTTTTCAGAAGGAATTTAATTAATTGCTCCAATTTTTTTTTACTTTTCTTTAGCTATAATGAACTAAAACAGGTTCTGTAAGCGAAATGTAGACAATTAAGGGTGGTAATGGTTACGTAAACAAGTTGTGAACGTTACGCACATAAATGCATTCATCGTTTTGGAGTACAATATTACCGAATTCTTCCTGTTTCTTAATATTCTGAACTCTTTTCACTTTTTGTCTATGGACTACATAGACCGATACAGACCAGAAATTAGGATTAAGAATAAACTTATCGACTGGATATTTAATTATAAAATCACACAAACCATTGAAGTATATCGCTGTGACTTGTGCTTAAACAATGCCCCAAAGCTATAAACTGTACGTTTAAGTTGGGAGCTAGATTTTCTCACCAAAGGTGAAATTGCCCATAAAAGTCCGAATTTCTTATTTATGGTAACTACTTGAAAATGACTCGTTTATCGTCCGGCTCTCAATATATTTCGATATAAATAAATTTACTTAGTATGAGATAGGTATTCTGCTATCAACTTTTTTATTCTTCCGTAAGAAAGTGTGTCAAATGAAATAGAGCTACGTCCAACTTTTCTACACCATGAGGAGGAACTTAACTGGTAACGTAACTGGTTATATCATTTGTGCGAGCTGATCCCAGTTATAAGGATCACAAGATGTATGTACATATTATGTTCACACTCACAGGCGTTCAAGCACAGAAGAACATAATTCGTTGTTTCTCAAAGCAACAATAGCTTCTTGTACCAGAAACATTTCACTTGTAACGTCAAAAGTACGTTTCGAGCGATTAAAGCAATTCTTTACGCTTCCATTACAATGGTCTAAATTATAACCCTACCTTTAAATAATTATGGGAAGTTGCCTCAATCCCGCGATATCAAAACGTACTTGACTGTTCTTACAGGCGCTATGCCCAGAATAACCCAACGTATATGACCATGAGCTAAGGGTCAATGCTTGACTAAATAGACGAGTGTCTTGTCTGATCCGACGATAAACAATGGTACAATGACTCCCCCTATTGTCCTTTTAGACCCAGAGTTTGATAAGAAATCAAATATTTGATATGTTTCACGTTATTGACTTTTCTAGGTCGTCGAAGCGTAAAAACTTAAAGCACACATTGAGGTGAGGATCCAGTTTCGATTTATTTGCCGCTACAAATGGCACATAGTATCTGATAAAAAAAAAATAGTTTAGAATTAGGGATGAAGTAACTTGATTTTTGTTGAACAGTTCCCATTCGTCTTGATTTCATGCATTCCTTAATGCAAATTTCAACGTTTGGGTGTTGCCCACCTTTGTCTTGCATCGGATCCTTGCTTTGACCATCATCATCAGGTTGTCTTCGAATTTAAATTAGCAGTGAATTGGTGTGGAAATATTAGAATCTAAACGTTAGGTTAAATAACATGACATCCAAGCTACATAATGTTTCACTTTCGACAGTTTTCATTTGTTATAACAACTAGGACTACCAGTACTTGTCATTCATGGTGTAGCTTGCGGCCTTTATTGTCAAAGGCTGAACTTTTTGCATATAATGAACGAGGATTAAAGAGAAATGTACACGACATTTACAAATACATTTTGCAAACTCAAACAGTTATTCGAAATTAACAATTTAAAAGTGATATTTAAATCTGTAATATTTTTAGCATGAACATTAATATTTATAATTCAAATTGGGGTAAAGTGCGATTTTATCAAACGCATTTCAAAATATAATCGAGATAAATTGTATTCTTAAAGGCTCAAATAATAATTGGCAGTTTCTATTAACTAGGGAAACTCCAAAACTAGCCCCGTTACAATAATCTCTATAAATCTGACCCCGGTGTTCCGAATCCCTCTTAAGATATTATAGTGACATTTTGATACAGGTTTTCATTAAAATGACTATTTGTAAAGTATGCTATATCCATTATATTCTTCAGATAGTGCAATTTGTCATCTTACACAAATATAACACCTGTCAAGGAAGGTTTCGTGCATCCAGATCCTTGCTAACTGGTACGTTCGGACATTTGAAACTGGTTTCGAAAGACTAAAAGTGTCGTGACAATTGACACTGAGTATATGAAAAGATTCCTCAACAGTTGCAACTACCTAAAAAGTTTTTGTCTGGCCTTTGATGTTCCTACAAGGGATAAGTAAAGCTTATATTTTCCCTTCCGATTCCCTTTCGATGTCCGCGACTCCCTTAATTCCCGAAAAACTATCGCAAACACCATTTTGTTGAAGTGTCTTCTATGCACATACTAAGGCTAGAAAAAAATCTTTAGAATCCCTTTAGTGGCCTATATACCAATCCCAATAATATATTTCATGACGGTAATACCGACTATTATATTTGAAAAAAGGTAATAATAGTACTATAGAACTATAATCTTTTCTGATTTAATATGGTATATCATTGTATACCTTGCTATTCAAAACGATTTATATCATTTATGTCATTGTTACATACGAAATGTAAAAAGTATAAACATTCGTGTATATAGCTGGTAGCAGAAGATTTGTGGTAAATTACCATTTAACTTTGGTCTACAAAGGTTAATTGTTACTAATGAATACAATTTTTAAATAGTTTCATTTTTTTCTTTCGAATTTTAACACAAATTATTGTCTTACTAAGATTAAACAATTTCTTGGCCTTTTTTGTTCACATGTACAATAACCTTACTCTTAAATATCTTATGTATACCTTGATATTGCATTTTGACATATACCATTTCATTAAGCTATGATGGATGGGGTAAAATCTGGACACGATGTTCCATCCTGGGCCTTTCATATTCTTGGCAATGATAAAAAAAACTGTGGTTTTAATAATTTCAAAATGAACACGAGTGGTAGGAATTATGAATATTTGTACACCATTAATAACTTGCTAAAAATTCCATATACAGAAAAATTGCATCCACAAATTAAGTTTCGTATCTCCATTGGTTCCATTCTAGCTGACAAGCTTTCATTCTTGCTAAACTATTCTTTCCGTATTCAATAATTTATGAAACGGCTATGGTATTATATAATAAAATGTAAAACAGTATCCACTTACCTAACGAAAATTGTGAAACACCGAGAAATACAACAATATACACCTTGTTACAACGAAAACATACACGGATATATATATATCGTCACAGTGTAGCAAATTGTACGGCGATTTGACCCATAGCCATATACCTGACTGACCTCTAGCGGTTGTTGTCTCGTAAGTAGGGTGTACAAAACCCGTTATATTTTATGTTAGGTTACGCTTACAACTAGTCGAGGGTCTGTAGGAAACTTGTTATTAGATAACAACAACGACACCCTAGTGTTTACCTTGACACTCACTCTTTGATATTCAATTAAATGTGGACAGTGAACCCCATTTCTAATATGGGCCATCTTTGATGGACGGTCTTTATATCGAATGTAATTGAAATTCTTTAATACTTATTCTATTATAAAGACTTCGTTGCCCTGAATGGGGTATTAATATACCAAGAAGGAAATTGATCACTATTTAATGCTTTAATCTAGAAAGCTCAACATAGTCTGTTATGGAGAGAGGTCGAGGTCGTATGTGCTTAGGCGACAAGTATAGCTTCTATTTGAAAAAATTCCGATGTTTCAGGAAAATTATGATGACACTACAGCAAATATTCCATTTGAATGGACTAATGCATTAATAACGCCATAATTTGGTTAAGTCCGATTTGAATCTGTATAATTCCTAATTTTAAAGCAGAACTGGAACATTAGTATATCAACTGAATCTAAAAAGTTCGATCGATGAAATTGCAGTGGTAATTTGATGTATGAAGCTATCTTTTGCTGTGGTGATTATGAACACAATTTGCCCTTAGATTTCTTACCAGATCGTTATACTTTCCCCATCTAATTATGTATTCTAAAGTTTTGTCATGAAACCATAACTACTTAAACTATCCCACTAAACTAATTCTGCCAGCGGATGACACGATATAAATATCTTCTTATGACTAGAATACTAAACTACTAAACACCATTTTATAATAGCAGGGAACTTAGTTTCTAGTATTTAAGTAATGAATTCTCGAACAACAGCAATTTGTGAAGTTGTATGCGGCGTTTAGGACCCCCCCTCAATATATCTGACGCTTTAAAATTGGAAATCAATGAGTTTAAGTTAAGGCCATGTTTCGGCTTATTATTACAATTTCTTACCAATAGTCAATTTGGTAACATTCGTGTAAATCCAATCAAAAGAAAATTGATATTTTCAGCAATTTTCAGGAGTTAATTCAGACTTATCGATTGAAATATGTTGTTATCCTTTATAACGAATATATTAATATAATACTATAAAGACACGGACTTTCAAGAATGTTAATCATATATACAAATATGGACGAACACGTTCAATACTGTGCACAGAAGAAAGCATAATAAATGGTGTGTTACATGTATTTGATACAATATAATATGCTGACTCAAACTGATGCGTTCCGTAATGTTATTTATTCAGGGGTTGGTTCAAAGCTATAGGATCCACCCCTGTTGCTGTCAATAGAACGCGCGTAACGAAAATTTGACCGATGAACCGTAATTAAATGGTCGCGGATTTTGACAGCCCACCTTGTTTCAAATGTTGCATTGCCGTCTTAAGGACTCAATTGATTATTCCAGAATAAAAAAAATAAAACTGCTATTTCAGTGAAAATAACATTTGATTTATACGACGAAAATTACTCAGTATCATTGGTTCAGAGGGCAATAATACCACGTCATTTTCGTTACTCTTTTGCAAACTTACCCAAATTCAAATCCTTCATCACTATCTTTGCAACAAAACATCTTTAACTGATTTAAACATTTCAGCACGTATGATAAAATATATTATGATTTTTTAATGAGGAATGTATCATAATAATAAAGAAGCTATAAATACCTCTATAACAGCCAGGTTCAGTAAGAAATACTGCTAAAATCAATAAGGAATCAATACGGTTGCTAGATAACTCAGAATCCGATACACAGTTCCCTTAACAGTTTTTTCTTCGTGTTAATACAAGAAAGTAATAGGAAAAGCACGAAAAACCTGATGTTTAATCCGATGCAATTTGACCATCGGTCAAATATTTGGGTTAAGTCATCCTTATTGTTGGTCAATTGAATTTTTCCGATTTTTTAGAACTGGAATGACGTTACGTGTTTATTCTTATACAAGGTTATACCTTTACCAACGCAGTCATTCTAATACTATCATTTCTATCAGTAAATCCAAGAACGAAAATTCTCAGTCAGAAGATACGAGTTGTGGTATACAAAGCCTGTAGAATATAATCTTTTTCTCTAATTCTAGTCCAGAATGGTACGGAGAGTTTTCAAATAGAAACGGCATTGTGTCATCTACGCCCGAGGACGTAGCGATCCAAGTTAAAGTAAGGCAAGAGTCTGGGTGGATTTAGACTACATAATATTAAAAGTTTGATCATGTTACAAAAGTGACCTATTTGCCTTCATTACGCTTCATCCGTCGTCAAATGACTTAAAACGTCAACAATAAAATATAATGCAAGGGAGACAACAACTTATAACGGTACAGTTATTTATTTCCAGAAGGTTTTAATCAGTTGATAGACAATTCATCATGTGAATCTAAAATAAAATTCACTTTTCATAAATACTCAAAGCCGTCTACCTCGTCGTCATCTTCCATCTCTTGCCAATGCTGTCCAGAGCTGTAATATAAGAAAATTTTCAAAATTGCCTGAAGGTCAAAAGAACCTGATGAGGAATTTTTTGTTTAAATGGAGATTAGGATATAGAGGAATAGTCGAGCAAAAATAATTGTGCCGATTAAGGGTTCGATTCAAAACATAAAACAGCCCATTAGTTTCTTTGCCCAACTAAACCAACATTTTCTTAGGAAATTTTTTATTTTAAATTAGGAAATTTTGACACGATGGCTTATACTTCGGGAAGCTGAGACAAAAATAATTTGTCCACTAATATAGCAAGACAAATTATAGCTCAGCATTATCAAGATTCTCCCACTAACCTTCGGTAACCGTCTTGATCACCGTGAGTAAAGATACTTATTTTACTGATTCTTGGATCAATGATACGACGAGGTACTGCTTCATTATCACCTGGTCTCTCACTAAAAGACTCATCATCCCAACTCTCTTCCACACCATTCTCATCATCATCGTCTTGATTAACCTCTATATAGTCACCGTCTTGGTTAACTGCATCACCATTATCGTCATATGGATTGTCATCATCATGCAGCTTCAATCGTGGTTGTGGTTGTAACGCTAAACCTGGTTGCTGTTGAAGAGTTAAACGCGGTTGTGGTTGTGGAGAGTAGGTGGCATAAATTCCATTGTTAAATACAACGGGTCTGAAAGAAGTAAAATTTCAATTAGGACCGGACAACGTTGCACCTGTGGTTTTAACAACCTCCTTACCCTCAATCCGCGGACATTAAAAAATCGTCGTCTTTGCATTTAGCTTACTCTTGAGATTCGACTGTTGACATTTTTAATGTTTTATTTCAAACAGCATCTGAAATGTATTTTAATTAGCAGATAGGGTCCGTGTAGACCTACCTAAATTACATGGATATTTCAAGCTGTCCATACCTTATAGCCCTGGGAGAAATATATATCGGCTCCGTTGTGTAAATATTTTCTGCCTCTTGTCGACGCCATCTTTCATAAGCATCTTCATAAAACGTCGGGTTGATAAATGTACCATAAATCTCCGGCTTGGCGTAGATTGAGCTCCTTTTTTCGCTTACTCTTTTACTAACTGAATCTTGGTAGACAGGGTAATCTGCCAGACGGTACTGAACAGGATTAGGTGCTGGTGGCAATTCATCTAGTGATGGTCTGGGACTGCTGCAGAGGAAAAGAAATAAAGTTGCAGAAAATGACGAACACAAAGGGTAAAGGAATCTAGTTCGGGGAGTGACAAAGGTTAACATTTTTTTTCGATTTCTAACTTGCTTAGGGATTGTTTACGTGTACAGCATAAAGCACACGGGCCCCTCGTGTAGTTGGGTTCTAGGTATGGATGTAGCAAAATATACAAAGTTGGATCGGTTTATACTCCAACTTTTTCAATTAATGATAATACTTAAGAATTTCCAACAGCCTCTGCCATTTAAACAATTAACTTACTTGCTCGGTGGGTTTTTGAAAATATATTTATCAGGAAAGAAGAAGACTTTGAGCAATATAATAAAAGCTGTAATCAGTGTCAGAGCAGCCGATATAGAGCAGACGGAGATATACAGAACATGGCGGGAAAATGATGGTATAGCCATGATTTCGACACCTAAAATTCAAAATAATACTACATGTTCATAAATATTTTTAAAAAAGTGAAATGCAATGGAGCTAACGCCCTTCTTTTTCAGCACTTGATTGGACTAGTGAAAACATTACAATGTCAGGATTGCGGGATTAGAATGCTCCTTTCAATTTCCAACGTTGAGGGATCTTTTAAATGAACAAACTGTAACATAGAAGGCCTCGAATCACAAGCCACTTTTCTATGCCAGCCTCTCCAACCTGCATCGCTGGCAATGGAGTACTTTTTTTTATCTCGACCTATGCCAGGATTGAACATAAAACCTTCAGGTAAGCGATTGGTAGGTAAGTGACTAACCCACTGCGCCACCACCGCACCATATCTAAACAGAAAAATCCGAAATTTGAAAAAAGCAACTTACTTAAACCTGTTGTTTCTGTTGTCAATTGGGATAGAGATGTTGTTATTTCTGTGGTTTCTAAAGAAACGAAGGTTGTGGTGAAGCTATCAGCGGTTGATGTCGTTAACGGTAACAGAGTTGTAATTATTTGAGTGACATTTTCACTTATAATATCCGTTTCGTTCATCATGGCGAATTTTTAAACTATTCAAAATTCAGATTAAAAATTAAACTTTAAAGGGAAGTAGTTCTTTATCACTTTGGTTTGATTTGAATTCGGTTTAACAATTTTATTTCTGATTCATATTCGAGCAATATCAATTTTCGCCTTTATTTTAAAACGTTATCAGAACAATGAAAACAATGGGCCAAATCCAGTATTCCAAGCATAAATCACTTCCAAAAACGGAGTTAAATTCACTGGTTTAACACAACTATCCAAGGCACAACTTAAAAACGTAATCCTTGTAGGCGAAATGAATCTATGAGGTGTTTGGTTTGAACTCTAATTTGATTTTGATTTATTAGTATACCCTGGAGAAAACAACAACTCATGACCTATTGATTGAAAATATTAATTATATTTTAGCATATTAAAATAACCTATATTCTGTTATTCACCATTATAAAGCGTAAAAAAGACGAGATCGAGATTTAAAAACAACTGAAATACAGATCCATTGAATAACTACAGTACTGTTACATTCAATGGTAAAACTTTACCTTTAATCTTAAGGCATTGCTATGGCCAAAAAGTCCCCCCCCCCCCCTTCCATATTTAAGTAGACCATAGCCGGAATGTCAATTTGATCTGATTCAATAAGTTCACTTTTATATACCCCACATTGCATTGTAGGCGTGCGTCGCTCCCGTCCGTCGACAAATGGAGAGCCTAGTTTTTGCCACATTTTCATTTTCAGGTTTCGATCCTAAAGATCTCGGACTAGTTCAAAGTTGTGTACGATTATGTGTAGTTTTTATATTATGTGTAGTAAATTAAATGTTGTTGATGAGTTTTTACCTTATCAACATCAGAAAAGTATTTATGGAGTTACTGCTCTTAGTGTACTAAATTTTTTGTCGGGAAGTCGCCGTATCATTCTTGGTAACCATTTCCTAGATGGATTGTATGCCCATATTTCATTTGAATAGAATTTCATTTTGCAATTTCTTAACAAGCACTTCGCTTGGAATACTTTATCCACCATCGTCAGTTCCAAGAGCACAGCGTTTCTTGATACAGCTGTCTATGACCCTTTATTGTTTTGTCATAACTCCATTCCCTTCCACCACCTTTTCGACCAATAGTTCTAGTGCCACGGGATTAATATCGAATCCACTCAAAAGCCTGTTCAGGTCAGCCTTCTTTCCACAAAGAACTGACTTTTTTAAAGCTTGAATCCGGTTTCATTGCAAACCGTAAACAGTATTAGGGTATACCGAGCATGAACCTTTTTGCTATACACTGTACATTATTCTTGCTGAAATCCATTTAAATACAAATGCATTTAATACATCCTCTTGGCCGTTTTCATCAGGAATCTATGTTCTATAGGCGGGGATTTCATGCAAAAGTATCAAATTCGTGTGAACATTTAATGCTGATGTCGTGCTATGGAATTATTCCCGATGACTGGTTTTACTAAAATCTCAGTGTTATTTGATAAATTTTGTTTATTTAACTAATGGTCATTAAAAATAAAAACTTTATTATGAAATGTATAACATACAAATAAATAAAGGAATCATATAATACATTTAAATGATATTTATAATATCAACAAGTTACATTTCAGAAAAGACTGAGACATGCTTTTGTCCATATCGTTACCAGCAACAGCAATAATTTCATTTCATGCTCTTTCAACTACATATGGTATAGATCAGAAATGCACTGTGGTATCTCGATAACACAACTTATTTTCTATACCTTTCGGCTTTTCCGTCCCTTCTTTTGTGATTCCTATTAATCATGTAAAGCACAGTGTGTCGGCATCATCGATGATATCTGGAATAGCAGATAGTATAGATGGCGGCTGGAGAACCGAAATGTTGTCAATGGTAGCTACGAGTATCGCTGTTACACATTAACTACCAGGAAGTCTTTTCATTGCCTTAAAATCATAGTAGCAAAAGAGGCAAAAGATTTAACGAGGGGGATTCTTGTTTTTTTTAGTCTATTGGCAAACATATAATCCTTGGCGAAAATCTACTATTTCAAGCTAATTCTTCAGCAAATCAAGATGTGCTTCTCTGGTCTTCAAAAGCTTAGCGTTCGTTAAACTTCGATGGTGTCTTGTGGGTGTATATACAATGGTAGGCCTACAAAGCAGCTATTTTTTAAAAAAATATCCAGTATTTTATCTCATTATTTAAAAAGGTTCACACATTCTCGGAAAGACAGCATTATTTTATCAAGCGCAACACTGCTCAGACAACAATGCATCATGATGGCAACACATCCCCTTCGTTTTTAATTTATTCGCTTATGTTATAAGTTTGTATCTATAGATTGTTCTGTGTCACCAATTTGAGACCGGGGTATTTTTCCAAATCTGAAAAATAAACAAATTGTGTTCAAACAACGCACATGATAGCTGACTTTAAGGAAAAAAACTCAGTATCTTAAACAATAGTCAAATCGAAATGGTCTTGACTGTCCAAGGGCTGTCGAATAAATCAAACAAAAAGATTGAAGAGCATGTTTCGTTACACACGATAATTTATCCAAAATTCACCATTTAGGGTTACTTTGTCCAAAATATTCCAGCTTCGTCGTAGTTAAAATGAAAAAGAAAATATTACCGTCCATAATCATAGTTATCATGTGCTCTTAAGCTTACACTACTCCATCTAGTATCAAGTGATTCACCTCCAATGGGTTGTCCGCTGCCTTCACCTCCGTCAGGACCTGCTGCTCCCCTTTTATCATAAATAGCATATCAAAATAATGTTAATAAGCATTTACCAACCAACCATCTAAGTATTATAAACTAAGACTACTGAAAAGAGTTCCTCGTAAGCTGTTATTCAAAACTATTTAAAAAGTTTCTCAGAAGCTGTTGTTCCCATTTATTCAAAATCTCTTATAAGCTTTTGTTGTAATTGTTTAAAAGGATCCTCAGAAGCTGGTGTTGAAAACTATTACAGACTTCCTTCAGAAGCTGGTGTTGAAAACTATTACAGACTTCCTTCAGAAGCTGTTCTAATTAAAAGGCTCCTCATAAGCTGTTTTTCGAAAATATTTTAAAAGCTCCCCAGAAGCTCCCCAAAAAACTCCTTAGCTGTTGTACACAAATATCTAAAGACCTAATCATAAGCTAATCAGAGTTTAAGCTCTAACAAAGTAAGAACTATTATTAGAGAATTAACTGTACAGCTGGCTTCTCCAGGGTCTACAGAACTTTCACTGTGTTACTAAGATTGGAACCGACCATCACCATTTGCTCCAACCAAGAGAATGTTCTCAGTGCTCCCTCCTACTGACATCATTAACCAACAAAGTAACAATATTTACCCAGCTTAATTTTTTGGCATAATATTACCTGTGTTGCCATGGCGAGTCATAGATAGTACCAGCAGCATAGATCTCTTGCGACTCTCTTCGTCTCCATCTATCATAAACATCTTCATAAAACGCTGGGTTGATAAAGGTACTGTAGATCTCTGGTTTAGCATAAATGGTACTAGTGGTATCGCTGGCTTTGCTTAGCGTGCCTTGATAAACATTATATCTCCGATCTTGGGGCGGATAGCGGTGCATGGGATTTGGTACTGGTGGAAGGGTGTCTACAGACGTCCTGGGTAATCTGTGATGTCGATCTGAAAATCTGCAAGGAAAAGTGCAATATAAATTATCCCAGGGTTGAGATCATATGACAGTATGCGATTTGTACAAGTTACTTTTATACAGAATAATTTCAGCATCATTTTCCAACAGCATTAACCAGTTAGTACGTAATGTTTTTAAACTTGATGGTTAGTCTTTTTGAATATGTTGGCAAATGAAGGGGTTTCTTTTATCAGAATATGTTTAATTTTTTAGGTAATCCAGTAGGTTTCGAAGATTGACTTTAGCTTGTATTTTTATGGGTGACAAATGACCAGATAGTCGTTATATTAATTTTATAAAATATTTCGATATTTTAATATAATAATATATTTCTATCGTTTTGCGTTACTCAACCACATTGAAAAATAGCCGCATACCTTGAAGATTTGTTACCACCTTTTCCACAGATCCATAATTTAACTAAAATGGCAATCACAACTAACAAGACCAAAGCACAGCATCCGGTTAAAATACCAATAAATAATTTAGTTGATAATGGTATAGCTGCTTCATCACCTAGTAAGATCAATGATCAAAGGATTAAGATTGAGTCAACTTATTTTGCTGTTGTTTTGGATGGTCAAGAAAGGTTACGTTAGGTTATGCAGTGTGCAATTGTAAATTGCTGATTCTGCTGAGTCGAGAATGCACACTTCAGATCATTCTCATTATGCATAAACACGCCTGTTTGATGAGCTCGATTATTTTGACTGCATATGCAATATCTTCGAATAGAAGACTTCTAAAAATGATAATTTTATGGCATACCTCTACAAGTTGGTAAACTGGAATTCCAATAACCACTTTCTTGACACAATATTACACCAGGACCATCTATAGTGGCATCTTCATCACAGCGTAATCTGACTAAGGTACCAGGTGTTCTCAAGTCTGTACTCATTGCTGCATGTGGTATGACTAACTTTGGACATTGTTTCAGTTCTGTAGTTGTGGGGATTTGGGACACTAGAATTGGATATCATCAGAGCAAAAATATACACATTTGAATGAAATAGGATTGGCAATTTCCAGAACATGAATCGGTATTAGTCCTAGTTTAGGTTCTCAGTCAGTTGAACTCATACCCAAATACGCTATTGCCTGGCATCCCCTTTACCAGCCATAACAACAATGGACTCAATACTGTATAATAGGTAATGGATATTTCGTATAATATTATATATTATTTATCGACAAATCTGAACTGTGTGGTCGTGTAAATTTACTTGTAAACAATGCTCTACAAGACTTTCAGATGAAGTATTCTCTAGTTAGCTTGGACTGGCGTTGAGCCAAATTTCTTTTATTAAATAAAGATTACCTGTGGTAGTTTGGATGATATTTTTGGTTGGGGTTGTAGGTTGAGGTAAGGTGGTTGTTGTTGGTGATGTAGTGGTTGTTGTTGATAGTGGTGTTGTCACTCGTTGGGTCGTCGTCGTTGTAGAAACAGTTGTTGTGGAGGTACTTACAGTTGTTGAGTTTTGAGAGTCAAGTGGAGTTGTGGTTTCAGACATTTTGACAACCCAGAAAAAAAATTGTTCTTACGTTTATCCCTTTGTTACATACTCATATCCAAAATTATATTTCCATAAAAGCACTGGTCTATACCGATTACAAGCTAAGTTAACACATCTCGAATCGAACACCTCAATGAAATTTACACACCCAAATATCAACACGGAAGGTGTTAGTTTCATCGATTATGACACACATATACTCATAATCTTAATTGGCAAAATATTTGATGGATAATACGTCAAAATCATACATTAATCATTTCAGTTTTGCTTGATTGATTTTCCAAGGTTCAAGTCAAAGGGGGAAACATGCCATTTTTGTAATCCATGTTAAGATGAATTTATCGGGGAAAATAATGAATATTAAAGGTCGTCAACGATGTTAATTTGGTCTTTGAAATAATCTTGAAATAGGAATTGTGCAATAGAAGTTTCCTGATACATAATTACAAATGCTCAAATACTATGAGGTTTTAAGAGGAACTCTCGTCCATCTACTGTAAATAAGGTATATTTGGGAACCTTTAAATATTTCACTATATGATAATCCTTTGAGGCACCGTCATTCGTCATCTCACGAACATTCTACGCTATTAATGATGGTAAAGGCTAATGCGAAGAACACGGGCTTCAATGAGTTTCTTATCCATCAATATTAGTGGTTTAGCTTGGGATTTTCGTTTAAAGATGAAGAACATAGCGGTTAAGATTGAGTCATTTAGTATTACATGTATATCCCAAAGGCATTTTAATTTCAATTATTTACTTATTTACCATCTGTGTAATTTATGTGTCATAAGCATGTCAACACTTGATTACTATTTGAAATTTAAATATGGGAAAAGGGCTCACATGTACTGCAGGATGGAGGGGAATTAGACAAGCCAGTCTGCTGGGAAAGGACACAAAAGGTAAAAAAAGACCATTATGAAACGTAAAATATATATTATACATGTACATATATATAAAATAATATCACATAAATTAAAATATAATATAGAAAAATAATACTATCACAGACAAATATACAGAAATATATAAAATAATAACTCAATAATATTGGACGGTAGTAATGATCGAGAATTGCACAACTTATAGTATATCGGTATAGGTTTTAAAATATAAATGAAATACATGTAGTTCAGGTTTTGGGTTTGCAATTTTGTTTTTCAACTGTCAGTAATGTTGGTCAGAGAGACTGACATGGTAAAAGTGTCTAGTCGTTTGGACGGGACGATGGTTGAGCACGTTAAAGGTTCTTGGACAGTTTGACAAATAGCGCTGTCTCGACACAGATGCATCATTGCACTCAGCATGATGACGTTGGCAGCCTTTATGGCCCCTTGACATAGTTACGCCCCTTGACATCCTGAAAATCTTTACTTGTATACAGCGGCTGTACTGTATTTTGGATTACACGCATATGCAAATTAGGCTTATAAATATTCAACATCGTTTAATTTATCATTAAAATGATGTTGGGGATAGGTAGTGTGGTTTGTGTTGTTATGTTGTAAATCGTCAACGTTTAATATAACGCTTCGAGGTTTCCATCTCTCGGAATGTTCTAAAATTATAAGAATACGTCCGGAACAAGCTCTCAAAATATCATCATTATCAATTTCTGTTCCATCTTCTTCTAGAACTAGCTTTGATGGATATCTTAATCCTAGCTTAGTTGCGCCTGGCAAATGAAAATAAACATTAAAAATTCAACTTTCGGCATTTAATCAAGGTGTGGTAGATAGGAACCTATTAAAATTCCAAGCCACTCAACAATGCAAACCGAAAGATAGCTACAAAATAGGTAATGTTATTAATTTGGGTCACAGATTGCCATACATCGGACGAAGTCATTGAATCCATGTTACATTATAGTCGTTTCTTTGTATTTACGTGTTTTACAGATCTAGATCCTCTTTCGTGCGTTTTTACAATATAACCACTGAAAACAAAAAGATCAAACACTTGGGATGCATGGCTTATTAGTGAAATAATTATTTTGATATAACTGACCTTGATCTAATATATCTTGGACTTCACTGGCAAATACATACGTTTTTACCTGTCGATCACTTGTCCAGATTTTGAACATTTTTCTAAAAAATAAAACCAACAGTAACAATTTTATTGTGCGCAATATTCAAAGACAAAGTTCTGATGCCATTAACTACCGTTATATCTCCTGCATGAATATATTTACCACGAACCCTCGCTTTTGCCACATTTATTTCGATTTAGGAAAGTACATGTAATATCATCAGAATCAGATTTATTTGTTCAATGTTTTATTATGAAGTGGTGTATACCTTGGCGTATCATTTTGTTCGATAATATTTTCTGTGTTTGAATTGGCAACATCTTCATAGAAGCTTCTTCTAGACTCCCTTCTAACTAATTCTTCTAAGGGATCTCTAATAGATATACTTTCTAATGTGCGACTTAAATGCTCCTGTCTGTAATGCATAAAACAGATGCAAAAAATTACTTAATTCATATGCATTAATATTCGCTTGATTAGATGTGATGAACCCACTGATATAGGTTTGATCCGGAAGTCGGAAAACATTTCGACAAACAATTGCACACGGATCTACTTTAACGTTAAGTATAACTATTCAGAAATTGATTTTGAATTTATTTGGCAATCAGAAAATTATTCTTGATCCATGTTGGTTCTAGTTTGGTATCTTTGACACTCAAACATTTTACATACCTTTCTCTGTTCCGACGTCGTTTATTTCTACAGTACCAAATCAAGAAAATAGTAAAGACTAATAAAACTAAAAATACTACAGAACTGAATATTGATAGTATTATTATTTCTCTCTGGGTTAGGGGTTCTGAAATACCAACAATAATAATACATGTAGTTTGAAAAGAGGGGACGAACATTTACAATTGTAAAGTTATGACAAAATGATGAGTGTAGCAGATGCAGTCATGTGCTCCGAAACAAAGGTGCTGAAATGGCGAACGGATGTAGTCGTTCGGATGGGAAAATGCAGTAAACTGACTCAGGCTGTGGGCTTCAGCGCATGTTAAAATCATTCCGAAAATTGGAAATCGAAAAAGAATTGGCTGATGCCAAAATTGGCGTTGCCAGATTTCATTAGCCAATACAATGTGATGAAAAATTCTATATAACTTAATGATGATGACGTAAATTGTTGAAACGCAGTAGGGAATCGATAATTACTAGAGGAGATTTCGGGTTGATGAATCTGGTGCAGAAGCTATTGGATATTCAATGACGAATAAAATTTCATTACGAAATTAAGCCATCGTATGTGACTTTACATAAATGGTGAAAATACAACACTGACACATTAAAATCCCAGATTAAGCTAAGAATAAAATTCGAATAATATACGTACCCATTTATTTTAAGCATATCCTTAGAGATTAGGTATATCAGAATTTTAACTCCGGTTATTCTTTTATTCAATATAAGTATTAAATGAGCTATTGATAGACTTAAGGTGTTAGTCTATTAAACAAGTCTTAACCTGTTAACAATATACAGGGCTTGATAAGAATATTAAAGGGATTGTAATGCGGTTTTCTAGCCCAATAATTTGGTTGGTTGTTAGATGACAAATTAACATCCGCTTCCAGCAAAAGCTGGTAAGTATATTTGTTGGTAGTTGTGGCAGTGGGATCTTGATCAATTGGATCTTTTAGTAACGTTTGTTGGTGTGGTAGTTGAGAAAAACTAGTATGTGTGTCGGGAACATTTATCTCCAAAAATCAAAGGGTATCTAGCAATTACGTCATTATCTGAAAGGAACATCAGACGCCAGATAATCAAAGTAGCCCAATAAAATACATTAAGTATTCCCAAATACCAAGACAAAAGCTTCTATTGAGTCCCTTTAAAACGAGACGTCTTTATGTCAATATATATATAGTAGGTTAGTTAGCCATATTATATTACCTTTATATCTGAATAAACTCTCTTTCATATTCACGCCCCAAATTAAGAGAGGGCTCGGGTGAACCCTGTAAATTTCAGGATCTAAGAGCAACTAGATTTTCAAAGATTCCCAGCAACTGGTGGTATCTCAGGGGGAATCTAATCACTCGCTGTATTAAGTCGGTATGAGCGGTTGTAACGACAGCTATAAATCGCCGCAGTTACCCCATTATTCTACATGCAAGTAAAAGCCTTGTCGACATGTCCTTATTTGATTTTAAAGAATTTTTTTTTTTAATGAAATTTTGTATTTCTTTTGTGTATACGGGGGAATCTTCCCTTCTCGATTTTGTGGTGATTAACCCTTGACCATACTTGTGTGTGGTGGTATTGAAAGGCATATTGAGTCTGTTAGCCTCATGTTTTCGGGTTCCCTCAGTTTAACTACCAGGTTTTTATCCAGATTAGTTTTACTTAACAGGGGTGGGTTGGCCCGCGGAAAGATGCGAGAACTCTGAATTGCAGGCAGGACAAAAGAGACAACATGTGCACGGCACTTCCGTAGTGTTGTTGTCTGGGCCTGGTGCCCTGTCTGAAGCGACAAGAGAAGGAAAACAGCACTGCTAAATTATTCTCTAGGACTCATTGAACGGATAAAGTTTTCGGCGATTTAAGCTGTGTTTTTATTGGTCCTGATACAATATGTCAGTTCAATCAGTTATATTTTAATTGTTTTTTTTGAAGAGAAGTTATCTCCCTTGACGTAGCTTTCGATGAAACTATTATTGGTCAGATTCAGTAACATTTGGATAAAATTGTGTTATTATTTGAAGATTTTATGAAAAGTTATCTCCCTTGACGTAGCTTTCAATAAAATTATTATTGGTCCTTATTCAGTGCACCTCACAGATAGGACTCACTACACTAATTAATTTGCCATCTTAAAACACGAAATTCCACCTTCTACAACTTTTTCCAGAAATCTCGTTGAAAGCTTTCCAATATGTCGAATGAAAGCCTGGCTAATCCTTAATGTCTCCTAAAAAATTCAATATATGATGACCATGAAAATTTTTATCTAGTCAAATTGAAAGTAGACAACTAACGGTTATACTCATCCGCTAGAGTTTGGCAGTTCACAAAACGACTATTTTTAAAATTATCCTTTTAGAATCTTTTAGACTCTCATTATCTCACCAAATCTGAAAGATAATGCAATTTCGGACATCAAATTCCAAATCCAGAATCCAAAAATAGGCATGCAAAAACCCTAAAAAGGGAGAGAGAAAGAAGATTTCTAACAATAGCCTGGCTCCAGTTACAATCATTTGCATAAAATGTTTAAGTGAGTCCTATATTATCATTTGGTTAAAATTATTTTTATGAGTTATCTCCCTTGGCGTAGCTTTCAATTAAACAAACTTCGTTTTAGTACACAAATTATGTGTCTGTTCAGCTCAGGATAGGTTAATCCATGGGTTCAGAAATTGAAATATCTTTTGACGAATTTAACTCGTTATAAATCCAGTTTCAGTCATTTCATTCAGTCACATTGACAAAATTTATAGTACGATATTTTTTGAGGAACGGGGGACAAAACCAATAAATAAGCGGAATATTACATTTGATATCATGTTGAGCTCACTGCTATCGTGTCCAGGATAATTCGGTTTGACGTTACATATAAATACTAAACTGTGAAATTACTCTTTATTTAATATGCATTAAAATTACATTGAATAAAAATACACGATTCTATAAAATACAATTGCATCAATTATATACTCAAATCATTCAATTCATATGACTAACTGGCAAGATTTGTAATTTAATACCTTAGAAATTGTCCCTGCGTTCAGTTCATACCCTAGCAAAACACCCCTGCATTCACTCCAAACAGTAGAAAAAATCCCTGCGTTCAGTTCATACACTAGAAATCATCCCTGTGTTCAATTCATACCCTCCGAAAAATCATCCCTGCGTTCAGTCCAAACCCGAGAAATTGTCTCTTAAGTTCATACCATCGACATTATCCCTGCCTTCAGTTCATACCACGGAAGTCAGTCCTGCATTCAGTTCATACCCTGGAAATCAACCCTGTCTCTTCATGCCATAGAACTCATACTCTACTTAAGTTATCCCTGTGTTCACTTCATACCTGCATTCAAGAATAAGCATACATTTTGCTTCTATAAAAACAGTTTGAGAACACATTTTGTCATGACTTCAGCTAGTTAGCTATTGATATGTAACATTCAATGATAGGCATGGTTGTCAATATCTTAATATACGTGTAATACTATTATTTAAAATAAAATATTTTATAAGCTGAATATTGCATTTGCTTTTATATCATACTATTTCATAAGTAACAATGGAGAACTTTCATTTAATACTTAGTTATATATACCCTTTCAATGCTGATTTAAACAAATTTGAAATTTAAGTCCATAAAATGTAAATGGACGATAAAAATCAAATTTGACTTTCAGGTCACCCTGTTGAACAAAATATAAATAAAATCAAAGCCATCATTCAGTTTTTGCTCCTAAGGTGCCTAGAATTAAATCCAACTGAATGCCTATATAGCCATAGATTTACAATTGGTTTACACAATATATTTTTTGACTAGGAAAACCAATCTTTGTGTAAAATAAATTGAAAAAAAATTCTGGAATGTAAAACCTATCCTTCGAATAAAAAATAAAAAATATTTTTCATTTTCAAGTGCTGATCTACAAGGCACTACAAGACTGGACCTATGATTAGAAGACCTAGTCTATATTTACTAAGGCATTTGTATATTATTATTAAACTGAATATATACTAATCATACACTATCAGAAAATATAAACCTATAGAAAATTAAAACTTAACAGCATTAAAAAAATTAGAAATAAGCTAACATAATTGAGCCAAATCAAGCATGAATTCTCTGGTTCATTGTGGAACATTTTTTTGAGGCCTGGTTGAATTTTGATAAATGGTAGTTATCCTAAAACTTCACAAAATATCAGAAAAAATTTTGTGCTATTTCAATGTAACCATAGTCTTTTCATCAAATCATAATTACAAAATTAATCACATTAAGTCACTAATTGTAGGTCAAAAAAAGGTTTTGATCAGATTAAAAAATTATATTAAATATCATTGTAACACTGGCAGTGTTGCATTTCCTGAACAGGAAATCTACAATTTTTGTAAGAAATCAAACCTCATTAAGTTAATGTGATATAACAAAAAACAGTAAAAATGTAATCAACATAGAAAAACAATCCTGTTAAATATAAATAGGTGGGTCGAATGAAATTTGTCTACTTTTAAGTTTAATGTTTAAACTCACAAGTTGTGGCAAGCATTGAATATTTACATCCAAATCATGAAAAATAACTTTTGGGTGGTATATACTTATAACTTCTTTCATTTAAATTTAAATTGGCTCTTTAGTAATGAGATTCATCCCAGTGTTTGCAATGGTTACACCATTACCTGGTCAAGTTTTTATGGCAATACAGTAACAATATATGGATTGTGCAAAAAGAAGATACTAGCGTCCATTCACATACATACATCTTTTGTATTTCATTCAGACAATAGTTTGTAAGTTGAAACCTAATTCATAACATCTAATGACCAGAATATATCAAATACAATATTTTGTAAGTTGGTTAAATACACAATACATACTTACATTGGTTATATAAATACATCTACAAACCAAAGGGCTGTGATTGTAAATGCCTAAAGTCGCCCATATGAATACAAATCCGACTTTACAGTATTATTAAAAACTTAATTAATATCCTGATTGCAAGTCTAATTATAATTTTCATTGTTAACCTTAACCCTGTAACACTACCCTATGTTGAGCATTAACTTTAAACATCTGTAACTATCAAAATCGACAGTTATTGAAAGTCTATCAAACTCAACAATTACTGAAAGTCCATCAAACTCAACAATTACTGAAAGTCTATCAAAATCGACAGTAATTGAAAGTCTATCAAAATCAACAATTACTGAAAGTCTATCAAAATCAACAATTACTGAAAGTCCATCAAACTCAACAATTACTGAAAGTCTATCAAAATCGACAGTAATTGAAAGTCTATCAAAATCAACAATTACTGAAAGTCTATCAAAATCAACAATTACTGAAAGTCTATCAAAATCGACAGTTATTAAAAGTCTATCAAAATCAACAATTACTGAAAGTTTATCAAAATCAACAGTCATTGAAAGTCTATCAAAATCAACCATTACTCAAAGTCAACCATTACTCAAAGTCTTATCAAAATCAACAATTATTGAAAGTCTATCAAAATGAACAATAATTGAATATATCAGTTACATAAAAGCTGATATGTAAGAATTAGTAATATTGCCTTTTTTGGACATGGAGGCTCAAAGAAAAATTGAGTTTATTCCCAAACTTTGTTCCATCACTAGCCTATTTTGAACAGCATTTGTAATGCAGGCTTATGGGTATACATAAATAGAATATAATTATAATTCTCTCAATAGGCTATGCCTAAAAATATATATTTACATACAAGCGATATTGTGGAATCATTAACTTTCAGATGTACCAAATTTCATGAACTACATTGTCCTACAAGTCATATTCATGTTGCTACTACATAAAAATTTATGGGTTTTACTATAAATCCCAATTTAATATTTTAGTTAATCTAAAGTAATTAACTGGTCTAATCCAATTGTTATATATTCCCTATTACTATTGAAATCATTGTTACTTCATGTCCCTTCTATCAAGTAACATCAGTCACTATACTATAGTATTTAATATTTGACTTCGTAGATTGGCTGTCAAACGGAAATTAAGCCCTTCATGAAAATTAATGATTTCAGAGTAACTGTTTTATGTGGTACTTGTAACATACTGTTGTACCCTGTTGTTGACTTCAGATATAAAAATCTCTATTTCTGATAATAGTAGCAGAAGGGTAATCCATAGCTACATCTTGTACATCTCTTAACAACATTTCAGCTCTGAAAAAAAGAACAAAAAACTGAACCAAGCACTACCAATTGCACCAAAATTGGACTAAAACTGAAGCCTCTATTGAGCAAATAACCTACTTTTATGTACATCATTCACAAAGTAAGAAATTTAACAGAAAATAGTTGTTACAGTGCAGATTTGTCCAAGAGCCCATCAATGTGTCAACAAGGTCAAACTGAGAAAAATTATGACTTAACAGCTCTCAAATATAAGGCCACTGGACACCATTTTCTTTCAAAGTACCCCCGGATCCTCAACCATTTTGTATGACCTTAATTTCATAAAATATCAAATTCAAAAACAACCAAGATCTGATCAATATACCATACCACAAGCTACAGCATATATATGCAGGCTTTCTTTAAGTTTTAAGTGGTAGCATGTTTCTTACCTGCGAGCCTTCTTCTCTTTATGTCTACGGATACAGAGAAGAGCAAAGACAGAGAGGAAAATAGAAGGAACAACAACTCCCAATAATATCAAAGCTATGAAGGCAGTTTCATCGGTGGTATTTAAATGGTGGAAGAAGTCTTTACCATCACCAGTTACATCAGCTAAGTGATTCACTGTGGTATTAACAAAAGCTGTAACATAAAAGATGATATAATAAAAATAAAATCTTTACTGAAATCCAGTTACCAGATGTAATCTTCTAACTACTACAAATAAGATGTCACATTATGTCTACTTTTTAATATTTTCAGAACATAGGAATTTATCCCTAATAAAGTCTCATCTAGCTAACCCATGGGTCAGCAGTTTATAAAACAAAGTAGAAACTTCAGAATTTGTCCAGTTAGTGATGTTGTTTTTATGGGCTGAGATTGGTGAAAATTAACATATTTGAATGGCACAATCCATTAAGGCCCCCATATACAACCCACTATTAAAATTCCAAAACAGTTGAAAAATAGTAGTCGTTATCACTACAATTGTGTCAAAATGTCCTTTTGAACAGTTCTTGGTATGGCCCTTAAGACCAACCCGCAACTATGTAGAAAAATAATAAAGACTTAAGAAAACTTTCTGAATGTTGAAATTCTCACCTGAAGAAGGAGTAGTCATATTTAATTTTCTTTATTTTGATTCAATTCTTAAAAACAAAGGCACCGTGTGTTGTCACCTACAAAGCAAAGGTAATATTTCATTTAGGAACATATATTGATTGTTATAATGTGACTTTTTCAAATGTTATGTCTTGGAGGGAAGGAAGTGTTTTTGTCACCACAGACAGTTAGCCTACGGAATTGATGAGACCATAATATTGGTTCGAGACTGGTGGGCACATTGATATCAAAATATTTTAAACCATATCAATATCAGTATTTTGCTTAGGCCAAATTAATGTAGGGTAGGGGAGCACTTGCCTGTTTAATTTTAGAAGTGAAAAAGAGCGGATTCTCAGTTTTCGTATCATTACTTTCATGCTATCGTCTAATTATAACTTTCTGAAATTCTGAGTATAATATCTACTATTTAAATTGTAGACTTACAATGTGTTCATGGCAACCATTTAGTTTCAAATTACTTGACACTTTTAGCAAGGGCAAAATAATAACATTGAAAATAAAAGTACAAGATGGCCACCAAAATAAAAACAAAGTAACTTCCGTTGAAATACGTTCAGGTAATTATCTCCCTTGACGTAACAAAATTGTTTTCAGGCAACAGTAATTTTCTTATATGTTCATGTCTCGAGTCTAATCCACTATCTGTCTTCAAATTGTTCTTTTAATTTTCAATTTTCTCAAATAGGTAGAAAATATTATTTTTAAAATTTGTAATGATATAGCCACCTTGAAACACGATAATTCAACTGCTGAAGGCATAGATGTAAGCGCGAAAACTCTTACTATCAAAATGTTTACCATCAACACCCAGGTCAACAATCGATTTGGTTCAAATCATTCGCAATCCACCAAAGACATCAGAAAAACGACGAAGAAACGTGTATCATGTGTAATAATGTTATTCGTCTATAAAAAGCCTTGATTGAAAGTAGGCCTTAACTAAATGGTATCCAAGACAATAGATTTAGTGAAAAGGCAAAGCTAAAAGTAAAATACAAACACATTTTTTTTTCTTCAAAAAATTGCGATGAGGACGGTCAATATTGGAATTAAGGCTGATAAAATATCGGATCCATACCAGTATCCCCGTTCGATATCGCCTCGCGTTGTGATGGTCC